CTGCCACGCATCGTGAGGCGGCCTCCCGGCAGGCCCTCGGGCTCCCAGCCTCCCTGACTGCGGTGGCCACGGTCGCGACCTGGTCCAGGGGCAGGCTGCCAGGGTGGGCACGGTCGAAGGGTCGTCCTCCTCCTCCTCCTCCTCCTCCTCCTCCTCCTCCTCCTCCTCCTCCTCCTCCTCCTCCTCCTCCTCCTCCTCCTCCTCCTCCTCCTCCTCCTCCTCCTCCTCCTCCTCCTCCTCCTCCTCCCCCCCCTCTCTCGTCTGCCCGGCCGGGGTCCAGAGCGACCGCCCAGGCCCCTCCCTGGGGCCCGTCCTGGCCCCGCAGCGGAGCCCCAGAGGCTGACATCGAGGGAGACAGCGTGAGACAGCGATCTGGTGCTTGGGCCGCGATGTGGTCGTTTTTTGGTTATGCGTTGTTTTGCCGATCGGCGCGGGCCCACGCACCCCCCCTCCCCCCTCTCCTCTCCCTGCCCCCTGGAGTAGATCTTGGCCGTTTTGGGTGCCTGCTTCGAGCAGGCGGAGGCGCCCCCATGATGGACGCACTGCTGCAGACGGGCGCACAAAGCAGAGGTCCAGAGCCCAACACCCCCCCTCCCCCCCCCCGTCTGCCCGGTGCCGAAACGCCGAATAAGAAAACGCTCACGTGCTTGGGCCGCGACCCCCCGTCTCCCCCCGGGTCATCCGTTACCGAAAAGTTTTGGCATTGTACTCCGGATTTCGTAATAAAGGGAGGGGGGTCTCATTTCGGGGGGGGGTCTCTTCCAGGCTATCTTGGAGGGCCTGGGGGGGTCTGGGCACGATGTTTTGGAGGGTTCTCCCACGGGGGAGGTCTGAAATGGCTTGTCTTGGAGGGTCCAGACCCCCTCCCTTTTATTACGAAATCTGGAGCACCGAAAACGTGTGGCAACGCTCCGGACGAACCGAGGGCGACCGAAGTTCGGCCTCCGGTCACGCCTTCCGGTAAGGAGCGAGCCGTCGGCGTCCTCAAGGCCCTTCGCTTGGACCCCCGACGCCGCAGGCTCCCCGTGACCGAAATTCGACCCCCGCTGGTCGCGACCGGCAGTTGTCAGGAGGGGAAGAAACGCACAGACACAATGAATCGTCGACTCCCAGGAAGATGTTCGGGCCGGGCGAAAGGGGGGGATTGGGAAAGGGGGGGTTACGAAATTTGCTGCATGCAGCTGGTTTCGGCCTCACCGTGGGGGCCATTTCTCGATACATAGCCGCCTCTGGCGCCGGGAGGCGCCGGGAAAATCAGCTACGTGAGCTGATTCTCAAACCCCCCCTTTGCTATCCCCCCCTTTCGCCCGACCCGAGATGTGGGAAAACGTGGCAAGTGGGGGGAAGACGAACGCCCAGAAAGCCACGGAACCTACGGGGAATTCTGCCGAAATTCTACCCCTTCTGGTCGCGACCGGCATTTGCCAGGAGGGGAAGAAACGCACAGACACAATGAATCGTCGACTCCCGGGAAAGTGTGGGAAAGCATGACAAGTGGGGGGAAGGCGAAGGCCCAGAAAGCCACGGAACGTAATTACGGGGAATCTTGGGAGTTGCCTGTACGAATTTTTGCGCGTCCCTGGAAGCCCTCTGGTGTCTCTTTGGCGCCACTCTCAAGGCCGTCTGGGCGGCTCGCGCGCCGCCGGAGAGGGCCCCCCGGGAAGCCAGAGCACCCATGGCGACCAGGGGTAGCTGGGAAAAGGCCTCCGCGGCCCCGTACTACCCCGATTCATATGGACATGGCGGACTCCGCAAACCTTGAACCCAACACCGTTTCCACCTCTTGGGGGCAGATATTTTACTTCCGGCGCCCTCCGCCGAGATCTTCCACTGGAAGGAGGAGGAGGAGGAGGTGGAGGAGGAGGAGGAGGAGGAGGAGGAGGTGGAGGAGGAGGAGGAGGAGGAGGAGGAGGAGGAGCCCCCAGCGCCCATCCTGTCCGAGCCCAGCATCCGGCCCGGAGCGGGGCCCCGGAGGCCGAGAGCTCGAGGGGAGCAGCGGTCCGAGGTGCTCGCGCCGCGAGCCCCGCCTCCCCCCGTCGCCCTGCAGGCCTCGCCAAGAAGAAGAGGAGAGGGGAACACACCCAGAGATCCAACGTAATGAAAGAATCAAGACGGAGGTTTTTTTCAATTTTCGGCCCCCAGGGGCCCTCGCCTGGCCCCGGGACCGTCAAAAAACGACTCAGGATGAAAAACCCGTCCTGGGGAACGGGTCGAGACTTCCAGGGACCGCGCATTGAAAAAGTCACGACGTCGGATCTCTGAGCAGGAGACAGGAGAGGAGGAGGGGAGGAGGGGGGAGGAGGAGGAGGAGGGCAGGGCGACCACACTGCTCTATTCCAAACGAGTGCCCAACCATAGGAGGGTTGGAAGAAAAGTGGAAGCGCCGTCCGATAGTTTGGGCACTCGTCGCAGCGCCCAGGCCGGGGCCCGCTGGAGCCCCGCCTCCCCCCGTCGCCCTGCAGTGAAGTCGGGCCTGTCCCTCTACAGGGGGGATATTCCAAAGTAGTCAAAAAATAGTCGGGGGACTATTTTTGGAGCAGTTTTTGACCCTTTGGGGCATTTCGAGGGTATTCTTTATTTTTCGTCGAAAATCCCCCTGTAGGGGGACACGCCCGACTTAACCCTACAGGCCTCGTCAAAAAGAAGTGGAAGCGCCGTTCAAAGTCGAGGCGCTCGATAGTCTGGGCACTCGTCAGAGAAAACGCGCACTTCAATGCTGTGAGGGGTCCTGCTGGGTTTCGGGCACCCCTGCGTCTGGGCCAGATACCTCATGCCGGCATCGAGGTGGCGCCAACCGCGCAAGCGCCGAAAACAAAAACCGTCAGTTCAGGTTTTACGAGTCCTGTAGGCCTCCCAGGTTGGGTCCGAGTAGATGGGGTCGGAGGATCGCGCCGTATCGCCGCTGCATCGGCGATGCGGCTCGATGTGGAGCCCGCTTTTTCCATGCATCGCTGACGTCGCCGACGCATCGCTGATGCTTCGGGGATGCATCGGCGATGCAGCGCGATCCTTCGACCCCATCTGCTCAGACCCCATCTAGGAGGCCTCTTAGTTACCACTCAGTTACATTGGATGCATCTCCTGGGAGGGTAGATTTTGAATCGGCGCTGGTATATCCGCGGTCGATGGCCGGCCCAACCTGGTTCAATCCGGCTCAATCTGGATCAATCCTGTTTACTCCGGCTTAACCCCACCGAATCCAGTCTAATCTTTGGTTTCCATCTGGCCAATTCCGGCCCAGTGGTTTACATCGGTGCTACGAAAGTTTTGACCCGGTTTGTGTTTTCAGCTAAACAACGCCTGAACATCACATTGGTTATGAACACCACGACGGCCGTGAGCATCACTCCAAAGCCTGAGAGCACCACAGAACCTATGAGCAGCCGAGCGCCGATAATCACATTGACGCTAGCACCCCCGCGCCTACGATGACTGGCCAAAGGAGGAGGAGGAGGAGAGGAGCCGAGAATGTGACCACAAGCGGAACTAGTCAAAATGAGTCGTGCGGTTCTGATCGTAGTCTTGATTGAGGAAGTCCTGGGCGGAAGCGCCATTTCGAAGTCGAGCCCGAAGGCTTCGAATTCAATTTTGGAGGAAGTCCTGGGCGGGAGCGCCATTTCGAATTCGAACGGAACAAATGCCGAACCTCATTTTGCAGGAAGTCCTGTGCGGGAGCGCCATTTCGAAATCGAGGCAGAAAGGTTTCGACTTCTATGTTTGAGGAAGTCCTGTGCGGGAGCGCCATTTCGAAATCGAAGCAGAAAGGTTTCGAATTTTATGTTTCCGGAAGTCCTAGGCGGCAGCGCCATTTCGAAATCGAACCCGAAAATTTCGAAATCGTTCGAAATCGTTTTTTCGAGGAAGTATCAAGCGAAACCGCCTTTTCGAAATGGCAACACCGTTTGGCATAAAAGCCCTGACCCGAAAACTCGAAAATGCAGCTTTCGCTTAGGACTTCAGCCCCGGAACGAGCTCGACTGGATTTCGAAACCCTCAGGCTCGATTTCGAAATGTGGCTTTCGCCTAGGACTTCCTCCCCAAAACGAGCTCGACTGGATTTCGAAACCCGCGGGCTCGATTTCGAAAGGGCGGTGCCGCCCGAGACTGGGGCGAAAAATGCTTCAACCGAACATTGTACTGGGGCCCCGCGGCCTAACGGGCCCACTGCCAACGTTGTACTGGGGCCCCGTCGCCTAACGGGAGGCGTTGAATTTTGGCCGAACTTTCGTTGCGGCGAAGTATTCGTCTCGGGCCGAACGAAAGGGGGGGATAGGGAAAGGGGGGGTACGAACTCTGTTGCATGCAACTGGTTTCGGCCTCGCCGCCGGGCCCATTCCTCGATACATGGGTGCCTCCTGGCGCCGGGAGGCGCTGGGAAAGGCAGCTACGTGAGCTGATTCTCTACCCTACCCTTTGCTATCCCCCCTTTCGTGTTCCCCCCGATCGTCGAGTGCCTGATCACCCTCATCGTTCCGACGCAGACCTCTCAGGAGTGGCCTCCCAGAGTCTCCCCTGGCCCAGGCCGTCCGGGACCCGCGCCCCCGGACGAGGGGCGCCGCCGGAGAGAGCCGGCTCGGACGAAGCTGGTCTCAAGTCGGGCATGTCCCTCTACAGGGAGGAAAAGTCAGAAATTGTCAAAAAAATAGTCTGGGGAGATGTTCCGACTAGTTTTGTCTATGTTTGTTCATTGTTGCTTGCTTGTCATTTTCTTCCAAAGTCCCCCAGTAGGGGCATATGCCCGATCTAAGATTAGGCCAGCCATCGACCGCGGACGTACCAGCGCCGAGTCAGAAGTTTGCCTGCCAGGAGTGGCCTCCTAAAGTCGTCGATTAGCGTTTGGAGTCGATGAGATGGCGCCGATTTGGTGTCGGCCAGGGTCGACGAGCGTCGATTTAGCGTCGACCAACGTCGATTCAGCCTTGACCAGCGCCGATTCGCACGAGCCGACACGATGGTGCGGGAGGCGCCCGCGAGCTGCCGTCGAGCACCCCCGGCCACAGGCCGTCCAAGACCCGCACGCCCCGGACGACGTCCAGGTCAAGGCCGCCTGGGCGCTGGCGAACGCGGCGCGGGGCACGGGCCCGCAGGCCCAGAAGCTCGCGGAGGAGCGAGGGCGCCCGCCGCCGCCCGAGCCGCCTGGTCCGGCGGCAGGTCACGGGAGCCGTGCGCGGGCATGGTTTCGGAGCTTTCGAATAGTGGATCGACTACAGAATTGATTTGCCCCGAAATTGATTTCTTCATCGGAGCGATGAAAATTATGCAGACAGTAGATCTACGGAGCATCCTACGATTTTCTCGCAGATTCAGCGGGAAATCAATTCAGGGGTAAATCAATTCTGTAGTCGATCTCCTACTCAAAGCATACTTAAGAGGCGGGGATCAATGCAAGCGGGGGTCAGCCAGGGCACCGGATCTTGCAGGATCCTGCGAAGACCCCCTGTGGTTGACCCCGGTCAGCGAGCCGCTCGTGGCCGCGAGGCGGCCGCGCTCATGGGCTGACCCGGGTTTGCAAAGCCCTGTGTTGCAGTTGTTGCTCCTGCATTGCAGTTTTTGGGGTATCTTGCTGACCCGGGTCTGATTGACCCGGGTCAGCAGATCCCCGATGAGTTCTATCCATATCCAGTGCGTTTTGGATTTTCTCGACAGGGGCGCCAGAAGGCCGAGGCGCACTGGATGTGGATAAAGGTCGAGCCCCCGGGGGCCATGCTTTTGCCCAGATCCAGTGCGCCTCGGGTTTTTCTGGGGAAGGGAGCCCGAAGCTCCAAGCTGCAGGGGATGTAGAGGCACAAGCCTTGCCCGCACCGTGTGTCTCACGGCCTTCGGTCCTCCACCCTCGATTCGGTCGATCGGTCCATCGATCCTCGCTGGACCTGTCGTTCGATCTGTCGGTCCTCGATCGATCTGTCGATGGACCGATCGACCCTCGACCGACCTTCGATCGACCCTCGGTTGACCCTCGACCAGCCGACGGCGAGCGGCGGCCCGATCCTCGACCCTCGACCCTCGATTCCCGATCCTTGATCCTCGATCCTCGACCCTCGACCCTCGATTCTCGATCCTCGACCCTCGACCCTCGACCCTCGACCAGGCCTGCCCGAGCGGGCCTACCCTCGATCCTCGGCCCTGGGTCCACGCTCCTTCTCTTGTGGCACCTCCTGCTGACAGCAAGCTTGGCGAGGATCGATTCACAGTCATGCGCTGCACTCGTTTATCGAGCGCGTTCCACCACTCGCCAAGTGCCTACTCGCAGATGTCCGGAAGGAAAACATACGTTATGTTGTTCTTGACGCAGAATTTCATCGAAGCAAACATACCATGTTTGCTTCGATGACATGTATCGTAGATCCTCCGCGGCTGAGCCAGGCCATGTCTGAGTATTTATTTCGCGAGTAGTGTAACGCGCTTGTCTACTTGTTGTGTGCACGTATCATGTAGGCGCACAGGGCACACACACACACACACACGCAAACACACACACACACAAACACAGACACACACACACACACACGTGCTTCTATAATATATATATATATATATATTATATATATTTATATATATATATATGTGTGTGTATATGTCTTTCTGTGAAAGAGCGCGCTGTAGGAGACGCAAAGAACAAAAGCGGGGCCCCAGCTTCAAGCTACCCCCCTCCCCCACCTCCCTGTTGGTGCCGGGATAAGCCCGGACCGCCCTTTGCAAGGGCGGGGGGGGGTCCGCCGTCCTGAGGGCCAGCTGAAGGCCCGTGGGGCACGAATTGCGAAGTGCTGGTCCCCTGAGACGCCTTGAGGAAAAAGCTGAGAGCCTTGGGGCGTCCGTGGTGCACGAAGTGTGTGAGGGTGTGCGTGTGTGTGTGTATGTGTGTGTATGTGTGCGTGTGCGTGTGTGTGTGTGTGTGGTGTGTGGTGTGTGGTGTGTGGTGTGTGGTGTGTGGGTGTGTATGTGTGTGTGTGGGGTGTGTGTTTGGGTGTGTGTGTGTGTTTGTGTGTGTTTGTGTGTGTGTGTTCGTGTGTGTGTTTGTGTGTGTTCGTGTGTGTACTCGTGTGTTTGTGTGTGTGTGTCTGTGTGTGTTTCGCATTTCGACGTGTGTCGCATTTCGACGTGTTTCCCCCCCTCTCTCTCCCGCCCGCGCTGGGCTTCCTCTATTTCAATCGTGTGCACCGCGGCCCAATTTGCATTATGTGCGCCCCACTACTGCCACATCTCCAGAGCAGTAACCTCTGCAAAGCCGCCGACGCAAGAAGTGTGTGTGTGTGTGTATTGTGTGTTGTGTGTTTGTGTGTGTGCGTGTGAGTGTGCGTGTACGCGTGTGTGTGTGTGTTGTGTGTGCGTCTGTGTGTATGTGTGTCTGCGTGTGTTTCTGCATGTGTCTGGGTCTGTATATGTGAGTATATCTATACAAGATGTTAAGGCTCGCTGCGCTTCGCCTTCTAATCTTGATCCTTGCACCTACGATGTTTCTGGGCGCGGGCGAGAACACAATTGTTCAATGAGGTGTGTGGGAATTGTGCGAGCGGAGGCGAGGCGAGGCGACTGCGCGGTAGCGCAGGGGGCGGGGCTCAGGGCGCAGCGTTGGTGGACGCTTGAGTGGAGGTGAAGGTGGAAGGTCGGATGCCGGACGCTAGAGGTCGGAGTGCTGAGCTGATGGAGGCTGGAAGTCTATAGGTGGAAGTCCCACCAGCCCTTTAGGGCTACGGTGGTATAACGAGTTTGGTCTTCTCTCTTCCCCTTCCTTCCCCTGCTCGGGGGAGGGGTAACCTTCCCCTGGACCTGGAGGGGGGGGGGGATGGAGGCGTTAGAGCGTCCAAGATGGCTCAAGATGGCTCCAAGAGGCGCTCCAAGTCGCAAGATGGCCTCCAAGATGGCCCAAGATACCTCAAGATGGGTCAAGATAGCCTCCGACACACCTCCAAGAGTCCTCAAGACGGTTCCAAGTGCCCTTCGAGCCCTCCACGGCGCCCTCCAAGAAGCCAAAACCTCCGAAAAGCCGAAGGAAAGTCAATGTGTTTGGCATTATCGTCTTTTCGCTTCCGATGGGCCCCCGAGGCATCAAGATGGCCCCAATATGGCCCAAGAGAGCCCCAAGAGGGGCCTAAGAAGGCCCAAGACGGCCCCAAGATCGCCCAAGAGGCTTCCAAAGAGCGCTCCAACACGTCCCCGAGACGCCGTTTGAGAGCCTCCGAGGGGGGGACCTGGATTGAGGACCCCCGCTCTTTTTGAACAATGGGGCCCAAGACGGCCCCGAGAGGCCTCCCAGCCTCTCTTGAAGATTCTCCACCCCGCCCGTTTTGGCCCAAGATGGCTCCAAGAGAGCCCTAGATAGCCCAAGATGGCCTCCAAAATGGCCCAAGATAGCCAAGCATGGCTCAAGATAGCCTCCGACAGATCTCCAAGAGGCCTCAAGACAGCCTGAATATGGCCCGACATAGCCGAGCATGGCTCAGAATAGCTTCCGACAGCCTCTAGCCGAGCATGGCTCAGGATAGCCTCCAACAGGCCTCGGGAAAGCTGGCAATCAATTCTGGACGAGCTGGTGGGGATACGCGAAGCGTCAAGAATTGAGAGGAAAGTCGGCGGCCGCATGCTGGAGGACGGGATGCTGACCTGGCAGAGGCTGGGAGTCCCGCGAGCGAAGCGGCAACACGATATTGAATGAGAGATGTGGCCGGCGCCTCGGCGAGAGTACGGGGCCCAGCGAAAGCTGTCTTCTGTTTCCGCCGTTTGCCCTCCCCTCCTCCTGCTCCTCCGTGCCCTCCTTCCGTCTTCCTGGGGCCCCTCCTGTTTCTCGCAATCCTCACCGTTCCTTCTTCTTCTTCTTCTTCTTCCTTTTTCTCCTCCGTCCCGCCTCCTGCTCCTTTTCCTTCTCTGCCACGCGGGCACGTTCGGCGCGCGGGCCAGCCGAGCCAAGGACGACGGCTCAGGTCAATCAGAGTGTAATGAATCTGACGGCTCTAAGACTGAGTGGAGCTCCTGTTGGTGCTTTTGTAGACCGTCGGAGGGCCTTCTTGGGCTGTCCTGGGGCCCTCGTGGGCTGTCTGGGGGGGCTTGGGCCGTCCTGGGGCCGTGTTGGGGCTCTCTCGGGCCCTCTCTGAAGCATCCCGTGGCTCTGTTGGGGCCCTCTTGGAGGTCTTTTAGGGGTCTTTTGGGCGCTCCCTGGCTTTCTTGGCGCTTTATTGGCCCATCTTGGGGCCCCATTGGGCCGCCTGGAGGCCATTTCGGGGCGACCTCGGAAGCTCGCAGACCATTCTTGGGCCGTTCGTGGCCAGAAAAGGCGAGAAGCACAGAGTCGTTCAAAAACCAATGGAAAATTAAGGTTTTTGGCCTGCTGAGGCCGTATTGGAGGTCTTTGCGGGGGCATCCTGGGCCGTCTTGAGCCCATGTTTGGTCCTGTTGGAGCACTCTGGGGCCGTCTTGGGACCTCTTGGGCCTTGCAGAGGACGTTTCGGAAATGCCTTCTGCTGTCTTGGGCTCCCGATGTAGGCCTCGTGTCGCTCTCTTCGGGGTATTTTGGGCCGCCTCGAAGCATTGTGGGGCTCTCTTGGGGGCCTGTGGGGTTCATGTGGGGTCCATGTGGGGGGGGGGGGGTCGGTGACATGCCGGGCTTTTCCTTTTTAATTTGATTGGTAGAAGGAATATGTGTGTTTGTGTGTGTCCGTGTGTGTTGTGTGCTGTGTGTGCTGTGTGTCTGTCTGTGTCTGCGTGTCTTTGTGTGTGCATTTGTTCTGTTTGTCTCTGTGTCTCAGTGTTTTGGGTCTCCTTGTTTGTGTTGTGGGGGTGTGTGCGTGTGTGTATGCGTGTGTGCGTGGTGCGTGCATGCGTTGCGTGCGTGTGTATATGGTGTGTGTATGTGTATTTGGTGTTGGGTCTGTTCTGTGTTGCGGCCTATTTAACTTGTGTCTGGTGTTAGTGTCTGCGGTGTTGGTGTCGTGTGTGTGTGTCTGTGTGTGTGTGTGTGTGTGTGTCTGTTGTCTGTCTGTGTGTGTCCGTGGTGCGAGTCTGTGTGTGTGCGTTGTGCGTGTGCATGTGCGTGGGTGCGTGGGGTGGGTGTGTTTGTGTGATGGTGGGGGGGGGGGTGTTTGGGTGTGTGTGGGTGTGTGGGTGTGTGGGT